GACAACCAATAGTGGCTGTTGATTATACTCATACTGCCTTCTTTTACCTGAAAAAAGTTAAATTTCCCAGTTGATCTAATTTGAAACATAATCAATAGCCAATTTGAAATATAATCAACAGCCATTTTAAAACATAATCGATAAAATTTCTATTGAATATATTCTATCTATATATATGGACACAAAAACATAATCAGCAAATATTTCCACATTTTCTCCTACTTCTCCCCTCCTCTTTCCTTTCCCATAGATGTTTCACCCCATTTCCCTTCTCCGTTTGTTCTTATCATCATCGTCTTCTTCTTCTTCTCCCTTTCATTTTTATTTTTCTTTCTTCTTTCTTCTTCTCCCTTTCCTTCTACCTTTCTAATTCTTGCATTGCATGTCTTCATATTTCCCTCTTGTTTCTACTTTTCTTTCATCATTCCTTCTATCTTTCCTATTTTCATTTTTTGGTTGCCAACCTTCTACTTTTCCTTCATTTTCTTTCATTCTTTCATCTCAAGCTTTTTATTTTCTTTTATTTATTTATTTTTTGTTATTTTCATTTATCATCCAATTATTTTTATTTGATTTACTAATGTTTTTTTTTTATTTTTTTTTTTTGCGGCTTTTTAGGTTTAAAATCATTTTATGAGGTAAATTCACATTTTGATTTATATTTTTCATTTCCTTTTACTTAAATAAAATCTTATAATGTATCATAATGCTTTCTCCTTTCTCCTTTCCCCTTTTACAAATATTTTTATTTTATTATAGATAAATTACCTATTATTTATCTTACTTTTCCATTAATTCTCATAATATTTGACTATTATTCTTGTTTTTCAATTATTCTCAAAATTATTTTATATATATTGTTGTTGCACTTGATTGACTTTATTATTAAATTTTGTTTAATGACTTTATAATTTAATTAATAACTACAAAATAAAAAATTTATTCTACTTTTTTGTCGATTATACTAGCATAATTGATAGAATACATTTCTGTTGATTATGCTATTTTCGACCCTTGTTTATTTGACAAATTTGGCTATCAATTATGTCTGTCGATTATACCTATAATCGATAAAAATTTCTATCGGTTAAATCTTGTTTTCTAGTAGTGTCCTCTGGGATCTGTTTCTTTAGTTTTGCAAGCTTAACCTCAAGGTTTGAGATCTCCTTCTTTAGACCTTGAAGTTGTTTAACATGTGCATTTTGGTGGTTGAAATTTGACATGTGGCATGAGGAGTCAGAGTTTGAATGCAATTTATTTAATTAAAAATACTTGAATTTATTTCCATAAAACCAACTGTAATAAATCCAAGTGTTGGGGGGCATCGTCTATACCATAAATTGTAAAACTTAAGATTATGCCATGTGTCAATTTATTTTAAATAATTGGAAGAGATTGAGCCCCATCAAATATGCTGTTATGGGGCCCTTGACAAATCAAATACCACATAATAGAAAAAAAAGAAAAAGAAAGGAAGGGGTTGAAAAGGTGATGTTTATCCATTAGTTACCCATTTGAGTCGTGGTGGAATTGCTCCAGTTGGTTTTTAGGAGTTTGTTTTAGTTAAGATTGTGAGTTGGTAAATAACAATGACAGATGGCGAAATTTGGGTAGAAATTTGACTTAGTCAATTGTTGAGGTGTTTATCTTCTCCAAGAAACCACCTACATTTGTGTAACCACTTGGTAGTGGATTTGCAGGTAGAGAAGAGACAAACAAAAGGAAATTTTTTGATCATTCAACACATAACAAGCCCTATACACAACTTGTCAAATTTTCAGTTATCTAATTACATAGCGATTGCTCACTTTAGCTTATAGATTTTGATTTTTAGCATAGATCCTAGTAGATTTAGGTTGATTTTAGCATTCAAATGGCTAAATTAGTTTGTGTAGTTGCTTCTACAATTTCTTTTTGTGTAATGAACATCAAGCTTTTCAATTTCTACTTTTTTTTTTTTTTTTTCTG